AAATCCTAATGGTGTTTCTCAGAGAAATAGAACAAAATGTCATCAAGTTTGTATAGAACCACAAAGACCCTGAATAGCCAAGCAATCCTGAGGAAAAAATAACAAAACTGAAGGTCTGACACTCCCTGACTTCAAATTATATTACAAAACTACAATAATCAAAACAGTATGGTGTTGGCAGAAAAACACACACAGACCAATTGGAACAGAATTGAGAGCCCCAAAATAAATCCATATGTATATGGGCAACTGATTTTTGACAATGGAGCCAAAAACATACAATGGAGAAAAGAAGCCCTTTTTAATAAATAGTGCTGGGAGAATTGGAAAGCTACATGCAAAAGAGTGAAACTAGACAAACATTTGATACCATACACAAAAATTAACGCAAAATGAATCAAAGACCTAAATATAAGACCTGAAACAATTAAATGCATAGAAGAAAACATAGGTACTAAATTTATGAGCCTTGGTCTCAGCGAGACCTCAAAGGCAAGGGAAGTAAAAGCAAAAATAAATGAATGGGACTATATCAAACCAAAAAGCTTCTGCATAGCAAAAGCTTTTCCCTTGAAAATTAGAAACCATCAACAAAACAAAAGGGAAACACCTGAATGGAAGAAGATATTTGCAAACAATACCTCTGAAAAGGGGCTAATATCCAAAAAATATAAAGAACTCATACAATTCAGCAACAACAACAATAAATTTTATTAAAAAATGGGCAGAGAATTTCAATTTCACTAGCTATAAGGGAAATGCAAATCAAAAGCACTAGATACCACCTCACATCTGTTAGAATGGCTATTACCAACAACACAAAAAACTAGTGTTGGAGAGGATGTGGAAAAAAATGAACCCTTACACACTGCTGTTGGGAATGTAAATTGGTACGACCACTATGGAAAATAGTATGGATGTTCCTCAAAAAATTAAGACTAGAATTATCATATATATGACTCAGCAATCCCTCTTCTGGGTATCTACTCAAAATATTTGAAAATATTTCTCCATAAAGAGATATGCACCCTGATGTTCATTGCAGCATTATTTTCATGGTGGCTAGGACATGGAAACAAATGAAGTGCCCTTTGATAGATGATTGGATAAAGAATATGTGGTACATATGTACAGTGGAATACTCAGACATAACAAAAGATGAAATACTGCCATTTGCAATAACATGGGTGGATATTGAGAGTATCATGCTGAGTGAAATAAGTCCGACTAAAATGAACAAGAATCCCATGATTTCACTTATATGTGGGATATAAAACAGAAAGCAACAAATGAATAAACAAAACAAAAAACTCATTGACTCAGACAACAGTATGGTAGGTTACCAGAAGGGAAGGCAGGTGGTGGAGGTTGAAGAGGGTAAAGAGGGTCAAATACATGGTGACAGAAGGAGACTAAACTTTGGGTGATGAGCACAGAATGCAATATACAGATGTTGTATTATAATATTGTACTCCTAAAACTTATATAATCTTAACTAATGTCACCTCAATAAATTTAATAAAAATGTAGAAATTAATATCTATGTCATAGGACGTGATTAATATCTATGTCATAGGATGTGATGCCAATAGAATAAAACAATCTGTGTGACTCAATGAATATAGTATGCCTAGGCTTATACTTAAACATTGAATAATTTTAAAGCAATTTGAATGAAACACAGATTTTAGATCAGATAAACCTAAGTTCAAATCTCCACACAGCTACATGTGGAGGTTGTTTGGTTTCAGAATGAGTCACACCAAGATATGCCTCTGTGGTATGCAGATTGTTTTTTAGCTAAAGGAAACATTAGCTACAGGCTCAAGAGAAACATCTGCCTCTCTCTTAACTACTTAGAAGAACTTGAATTAGGGGCCTTGCCCATAAGTGATTATCAGAAATAACCTCTTTTGATCTACCTATAAGGCAGGACAAACTTCTATTTACTAAGCATCTTCTCTTCTTCTCATTCTATAATGACCCTTTGAAGTCCCCAAGGTACCTTACCTCATCCCCAGCTCAGAATGTCTTGTATACCCATGTTCCCTTCCTACTTCTGAACCTCTTGTGCATGTGGAGTCCCTGATTTTCTCATGTAATAGAGGTTTCCATACATATGCATGTATTAAATTTGGTTGCTTTCTCTGGCTAATCTGTCTCATGTCCATTTGAACTTTGAGGGTAAAGGAAAGTTTGTTTCTCCTCCACATCATATACCCCCAAGCTAGTTTCTTCTTAGATCTCACTTTCCTCACTTTAAAGTGGGTATAAGTATTATAATCTATTTATTCTTTTATTCACACAAACAATGCTTTATGTGTGGTACCATGCATCAGCACTGTGATGAAAGGTAGAGATGCAAAGGGATGAAAGGAATGTTCCCATCTTCAGGAGTGTATAGCCACACAGAACATGGATATAGAGTCACAGTTTTGGCTGCGCACCAGAGTCACTGGGGCTGGTGAACAAAAATTCCGATGTTCTCTGCCCTGGAGTTCCTGAGTGAAGGGCCTGAGGTGTGGCTTAGGGGAGACCCCAGTGAGCAGCACATATTGACCGACACTACTTGAAAGTCATTCTTGGAAAATTCTTTCACATATAATTTGTTGCAGAACATTTTCCTCAGTGACTGTTTGATGTACTGAGAACGGAGAGGTAGGGTGGTCTCCAATCCTGACACAGGGTGTCCCAATTCCCACACACCTTATAGAAGCTCAAAAGGAGCCATTAAATTCCACTGGAGATCTGATGGGTGAGCTGGCTCCAGTCTTATCAGTTTACGACTGATAGATAACAAGAAAGGGGGCCTTCACCAGAGCTGGGGATCTGCCTCCCACCACTTGGCCTCCAGCTGCTCCCAAGAAACCCCTTTCAGCTGGACCTTGTTAACCAAGCAAATCTGGGATCCTCTGCAGTGAAATGAAAAGCTCTTTTTATAAGACCTTTAAGTAAATGAGAGCAAGTGACAGGATGCTAAAAAACAGGCTACAGCAGCTTTATCACCCCTAGGCCATTAGCCCTTTCTTTCCTTAGAGCCAATTTAGATCTTAAGCAAACAGCCAGAGGTGGGACATTCCATGGTTATTTCTAGCCTCTCAATCCTGTCTTCCTGGCAAGACATTTCCTTTTCTTTTTCTAGAGTTTCCATTTATAAAGTGCATATTTTCAAAACCTTATTTGACATAGGAAATTTCATGATGTTTGAGATTTGCTTCAAAAAACTTCAAGAAAAAATATGGGGGAAAATAAATAAGATTGGCAAATTTGATATTTAATTGTTGAACCCAGGTTTATGAGATCACTGTCTTAGCTTTTGTATATGTCTGAAAATGTCCACAATACAAATTTAACTTTTAAAAAACTGTGGGGAAAAATTAGATGTTTAGGTACTACTTTTAAAACTTTAATATTATCAGAAAGGTTTGCATTCAGTATCATCCTGTAAACTGAACAGTTTTAAACTTCTTAGTATTCAAAGAAATACAATCCTTTTGTCGATACATGGTTTCATTTTAGCGTATAACCCATCTAGGTCACAAAAAAGTTTTTACTAATTTAAAGTCATAAAATGTACTTACTTTTATATATAACTAAATTATGGAATTAACAAATAATAGTAAGTTTAAAAGTGTGTTTGTCATTATTCCAGTTACAGATATTTCATGAAGTCTCTGGGTGTCCTCCTCCACGTGTCCTGCCCACTCAGGGCTGGTGCCACCTGGTCTCGGCAGCTCACAGAGCCAGTGGTTAGGAGGCCTCACTGCAGCCAGGCTCACCAATTCCCAACTGGTTTGTCTAACAGGCTCTTTAATAAACCTCACATTTAAAGGTTTAAAAAATTAAAGCAGTGATAAAGACATCCTTGGAGGAAGCATGCTATTTTTGGAAAGCATTTTTTAAATTAAAATCACAGAACAATTTGCGCCAGAGTTAGATGGTGTCTTCTTTAGTGCTGATAAAGGGGCCCAGTCCATATTTTGGTAATTAGAAAACTTGAGACTCAGAAAGTCCCAGGAGAGGCCCCCAAATCACTCCCTTCTTGAATTCAGAGTAGGCTCATCATCAGACAATGGCCAGTGGCAGTTACCCCTGTGCTCCCAGATCTTTGGATACTGAGCATCCTACAGACTTCTCATACTATCTATGCATTCCATGTTTTTAAAAAACCTAACTGCAAGGGACTTAAACTTTAAGCCTTAGTTGCTTTATCTTTTATGTGGAGGATTAATAATATTGCCTCCCCAGAGGGGTGCTATATGAAATTAGTAATCTATATGACATATATACCACCATACTGGGCATAGAGAAAAGGCTCAGTCTGTGGAAATAGTGACACGTCCTCAGGAAGCAGGTGTTGAAGTGTCTCCCTTTATATTCATGCTCTCCACAAAAGACTTTTGGGACACAGGCCTGCTGGTTATGTCCCACTCAGCAGCTCTCTTTTCTAGCTGGGCCCTCTCCCGTCTCCTAGTATAAAGAGTTAGCAATATAAAAATCTCCATTTTCCTGTGACAACTTCTTTGTTCATGTCGGGGTTTTATTATTATTATTTTTTTCAGTGAGGAAAAGGCTTGTTGCCTTGGTCATCAATGCTTTACATCAGAGGTTGATCACTCCTGCTGCTGTCAGCACTGTAAACACTGTTGGGGATAAGATGGGCCATGTCTCTACGAATCCCCCTCCCCCCAGCTGGGTTTTACTAAGGGGAGAGTCCTTGAGGCTCTGCCTGGGCTCTGCCTGTCACAACAGACCATTGCCTAAAGAGCTTCCACAGCAGAATTCAGAGATTTTAAATGTTATTTCCTGTTGGTTAGGCAGAGGGTAGGAGATACCTGCATCTTTTGTTCCTACCCATCTTGTATCCTGATGTAGTTACTCCAGGACCAGGAGTAGACACCTTCAAATACAAACTCAGTCAGAACCAGCTTACTTGGAAATTGATCTTCAGTGTGTTGATGAGAGAAGGAGACTCTCGACCCAGACGAGTCAGCGGGAAAATGACCCGGAGCTACCTTGTTAGGTAAGGACAAAGATAATCCAGATCTTAGAGCCAAGAGAGGTCTTTAAAAGCCTCCAGAAAAAATTGCAATGCATGCATGGTTGTTCCTTCTAATTAAAAATTGCAATGCATGCATGGTTGTTTCTTCTAATACTTTCTTGGTCTCAAAGTCTTTATATGAGTGTATTACAGTTTATACATATGTAAATTTCTGCGTATGCTTTTTTATGTTTTAAACTTCAGTACTTTTCTTTATTCTAGGTTTTTGTTTATGCTCAGTTTGGCATTACAGGTCATCCATTTGGGAAACAGTAAGAAGCATTTTATTTACAGTCTTTTATTTTTTATTGTGTATTTGCTTCTCAATCATTTTCAGCCTTATAATTGTCCATGTTTTTAAAAGGCTATCCAAGAGAGAAACATAAAGGTAGTAGAGAAGAAGTCAACAACGCTACAACTCGGAAGCTCCAGCAGAAAACACTCAACGGGACTTCGAATTTTAGGGAGGTGAACGGAAGCACGGAGGGCTGGAGGTCACAGATCTTGCTTCCTTATTCCTGGGCTTTCCAAGAGCGTAAGTTGCGACGCTGCCATAGTGGTCATCTCAGTCACCGAACTCCGAGTTTAAGGTCTGATAAAAACCTGGAATAAATTAAAGGTAAAACGAGAAACCCAATAGAGAACATTTTATCATCTTCAAATGATGATGCACTATAAAGTAAAAATATTTCCTAGCGAGGTGTTGTTCTTTTACTCCGAAAAAAGAGTTTTACTATTTCACTGGTAAAAAGTTGCATTTGCTCTTTAATGGGTATTTTTCTCAGGTCCAGAGAACGGATTTAAATGTATTTAAAACAAATATCCCAACCCAAGGTAATAGCGGACTCCGGCTGTGGCAGACTCTCAGGCTCCAGACCTCAGGTCCCCAGGGAGTAGATGTGGGTGGGGTGGCGTCATCGCACTTGTGGGTGGTCCTCGCCCCGGAGGCCTGTCTTTAATCACTGTCGCGGGAAGTCGCAACCTGAATTTAACATGTGAAAGGAAGAAGGAAAACCCTACTTGTTGATGGCAGGGTTTCATGTGGTGTCATCCGGCTTGTTCCTGATCCGCCGCTCCCCAGGTTTGTTTTTAATCCATTAATTAACAAGCAGGATTTACCTGAACAAACACACTTAGCCGGGAGTTACTTTTATCGCCTCCCCAAGACAGCCTTTTCCTGCTCTCTTTGGGAGGGTCTAACGCAGGGGGCGGTGTGCTAAGCCCGGAACTGACGCCCAGGCGACTCCCATAGGTGCGACCCAGCGGCCGCGCTGCTGCATGAACGGTGGAACCTGCGTGCTGGGCAGCTTCTGCGTGTGCCCCGCCCACTTCACCGGCCGCTACTGTGAGCTTGACCAAAGGCACAGGTAGGCGCAGGCATGAGCGAGATGGAAGGACGCGAGTGGGCGCGCCCGGAGGGGCGCGCCGGGCGGGGCGGGGCGCAGCACTAACATCGGGTCTCGGCCTCTTCCAGCGAGTGCGGCGCTCTAGTGCACGGAGCCTGGACCTTCCGCGGCTGCCGGCTCTGCAGGTGTGTCTTCGCGGCCTTGCACTGCCTCCCCCGCCAGACACCTGGCCACTGCGGTAAGGGGACTCTCAAACCTGTGTTCACAGTCCACACATGCACGCAGTTGCCTCTTTATACACACCTATCCATAGCTATCTATATGTGCCAGAAGACACAGAAATGAGCAAACTGGATCAATTCATCACTGGGAAAGTCACATTTGTTGTGAATCACATAGTGTATTATCATTTCAAAGTTAATTCCTAAGTTTTCCATATCCGATTGCTGGATTTAAAGTGATTTCCAAGCGGTGTCCTTAAATGCCCTCCTTTACAGTGAGCTGAATTTGGGGAGCATGTAAGCAGAGCTGGGCCTGGCAGACATGTTACTTGACAAAATCTCCAGGGATTTTCCTACACTACGATCACACCATCTCAACTGCTAAATGAGAGCACTGGAGTGGGACGGGAACAAGCCTGCATGGCTAGGCGCTGCCCTTTCGGGCCAACCCGTCCATGATCCTAGAGAAGGATGTAACCACAGCTCAGGCTTTAAAGCCAGCAGGGTGTGGAGAACATACAGAGTTGAACACTCATTTGTGAAGATTCTGAAGTCACCAACTCAACACAAATGTTCCACTTGTAAAACTCAGTAAGGAACATGAATTCCCTAGGTCAGAAAACAGATGTAACGCTTTGCTGCTGAATCATCACCTTGGGCAGGGTCCAGGGGCATATGTAAAGAAGTCACAGTAATTCAGCCCCACATCGTGTGCCCTCTCCTCTCTTCAGCAGGCTCGGGCTAGGGTAGAGTGAGGGGCACAGTTAACGAAGGCACCGCCCTTCACCTCTCTTTGCCAGTGCGTGGAGTCGGGCCTGGGCCGGCTTGCCTGACTTCGTCGAAGCTCCTAAACCCACTTTCCTGTTCCTCTCCATCCCTGGGCAAATCCCACAGTTGAAGGTCACAGTTAATGGTAGCACAGCACTTCAACTCCACTCATGCCCCCTTTTCTTCTGTCGAGATTGCAATGGGGTGTGTGTGTGGGGGGGGCGGTAAGGTAGGATTGTGGGGGGTGAAGGAGGTGGGAAGTGGAGGTAGGGAGGCTGGAGCCCTTCAAGCCCACTTTCTCTCTCCACCCTCTGTGGGGCTGGTAGTTGGAGGAGCACACCTAACAGAAGCTCAGCTTTAAATCCATCTTCTTGCCCCTCCCTCCTTCTCTCCTCTGCAACTTTGGGTAGGATTTGCAGTCAAGGGACACTCTTAATGAAGTGCAGCCCTTCACACCCACTACCTACCCCTCCCTTCTCAGCCAGCTCTGCACGGTGCCAGCAGTGCTAGTAGTGGGGAGTGGGGCTATAGTTCAATATGTTGCACTCCCCTCCCCCACTTCCTCTTGCTGACTACATTTTCCAAAGCCCTCCCTCTCTTACTGAGCACTCAGTTTGCTGGGCTTATGCCTCTGATTCACTAGCTGCTCCTTCTATGCCCTAGAGAATTAAATTAGGAAACACATCAGAATTGCAGGTGATACCTGTGTCTTCCTATAGGTGAAATAATTTCCCACCTGCCATTGGTCCTCCCAGCAGTAATGTAGGAAAGGGGTTAGCTATGATTTCCATTCTCCTATGCAAGGGCAGCTCCAGTTGAGAAGCAGCAGGGTAGATTCCAGGATATTTGCTCACTATTTGTTTCCTTGGAAATATCCAAGGCTGGGACTGCATCTGCCAAAGACAGTGACAATGGCTCTGAAAATGTGGCTTCTGCTCATCAAAGATAAAATAGTTCAGTCATGTTTCAGAATCATTTGTCAGATGCAGAAAGGGCAGTAGCACCTTTGCGTTCTTTGATCAATGGATCCTGCTTCAAGGCAATGACAGTGGTGGTGGCTGTGCTGACGGTAGTTAGGATGACGTGAAGATGACAATGATAGCAGCTATGCTGATTGGTGGTTTATTATGATGTGAGGATGATGATGGTGATGACGACAGCTGTGCTGATGAAGGTTTATGATGACATAAGGATGACAGTGGTCATGAGGATAACTGTCTTTATTAGCTCTCAGTATATTTCAGGCATTTTATACACTATTCCATTCAGTTCTCATAATGTTAATTGATGGTCATTGGTACCAGCCAATTCATTGCCAACAGGAATCCCAATTTGGGGTGTGGTGAAAAAGAAAATTGATTCAGTGCAAACAGCTCAGTTGTGATATAGCATGGCTGTGAGAATAGCACGTGGTGGAAGAGCTCAATAGTATTACACCTCAACTATGAAACAACATGGCTATGAGGCAGTTCTGGGATGAAGCAGCTCTGAGGTATGGTGGCCTTCAGTTGAGGTGGCTTAGGTAAGACCCCTCTGAGGCTGTACAGTTATACTCTGCTCCTCCTCACTCTATCCTGCTCCACTCTGGTACAGCAAGATATCTTTGGTGTTTTGTCTTCTGTGTTTCATTTTTGGTGTTTCAGCTCTAGCCAGGGAAACACAGTCTTCAGTCTTTGGTGGAAAAGGAAAGTGTACTTCTGGAGCCACAGGGGAGCTGATTTATATAAAGAGAAGTCCCACTCTGGTCCTTGATTGGCCCATCCTCATGCAAATGAGGACACCAATCCTTGCTGTTTGATTGGTACAAAAGGCACTGTCCCAACTGGTCAGAATGGAGCCACTCTGATTAGTCGGTGAGCATGCTGATGGGAATATAGCTGTGCAGTGCCTATTGGTTGAAATATAATTACAGGAACTTCTTTTAAAGGATTGGCTCAGATGGCAGGAACACAGAGCAGGCAGGCAGTTCAGTGTGAAAGGCAGTTGAGTGCAGGCTTCTCCTTGAAGTGTGGTTTGGGTGAGAGACCTGTTTAGAAATGGCTGTTAGGCACTGCTTTTAAATTTTAGCCCAGTTAGCCACCAGGAATCCTTCTTGGTAGGTATCTTCTTTCTTAGGGTGTGCAATAAACGAGCCTATGAAATAGGTACCATTATATCTTTTATATTTCAAGAAACTGAGGCTCAGAGTGGTTATCTCCAACAGCTAGTAAACAGGGTCTGATTCTTTTTTTTCTTAAGTGATAATTACAAGAGGCTAATTAATTTAGAAATTTATTAGTTTCAGGTATACAACATAATTCAATATTTGTATACATTGTGAAATCACCACAATAAGTCTAGTTACATACATTACTACACATAGTTAACAGAATTTTTTCTTGTGATAAGAACTTTTAAGATCTACTCTCTTAGCAACTTTCAAATATATAATACAGTATTATTTACTATAGTGGCCTTGTTTTACATTACATCCCCATGAATTATAACTGGAAGTTTGTACCTTTTGAGCACCTTCACCCATTTCACCGCCCCCCCACCCCCAACTTTTGGCAACCGCCAATTGGTTTTCTGTATCTATATGTTTGGTTTCTTTTTCTTTTTTTCCCCAAGATTCTGTTTATAAATGACATTGTATGGTATTTATCTTTGTCTGACTTATTTCACTTAGGATAATGCCCTCAAGTCCCTCTATGTTGTGTATGTGTGTGTATCTATATCTATATCTATATCTACATCTGCCTCATTTTCTTTATTCGTTCAGCTATTGATATATACTTGGTTGCTTCCGTATCTTAGCTATTTGTAAATAATGTACAATGAACACATTGTTTTGTCTTCTTTGGCTAAATACCCAGAAATGGGATTACTAGAGAATATGGTAGTTCTATTTTTAATTTTTTGAGGAAACTCCATACTGTTTTCTATAGTGGCTGGACAAATTTACATTCCCACCAACAGTACACAAGAGTTCAGGGTCTGATTCTCAGCCAATGTGCCATTTCTGTATGCTACCTATAAGAATAATTATCAATGTGAAATAAAGAAGATATTTTTGATGTTATTTAGAATATTGAAAATTTAGCCATGTTCTAAATTCAACAACAGAGTAATAGGTAAGTAAATATTTTAAATCCTTTAATGGGATATTATGATTTTGAAGAGTGTATGAAAGTTATAATGGAAAACTATGTTGACAATATAATGATGTGAAAAGACACATATGGATGGAGTATCACAAATAGATAACAACATGCTATGGAATGGTGGCCCTCTTGCTCCTCCAGGGACTTGTAAGCTGAAAGATCTCCAAGGGCCCTATTTGTTTTAATTCTGTGCGGGTCCAAGAATGACAACTTTCTTAATCTCAAATATAACACTTTTTCAAAGGCATATTTTTCCATTCTGATTTAAAAGGACACTATTTGTTCCTCAATTTTCTCATCTAAAATTAGGAATTGATCCTTCGTACTCACACAGACGTTGAAGGATGAAACTTATGCAAAATAACCTTGTTTGTTGGTGTGAGCTATTTTGTAATTTTTCTGCTCCATGATCTAAAAAAATGCTTTGTGCATAATAATTCTAAATAAATATTGAATGAAAGACCTTTGACCTCTTAGTTCCAAATACGGTTATAAAGAAGAAATAACCATATAAGCCATTACCTATTATTATATTACAATTCAAAGAATCTATTTTTAGTGTTCTAAAAACAATATGCTTTAGACAGGTAACTATCATTCTGCCATTTTCTTCATTTACATTTGTTAACTTTGCATTTAAAGAGGCAATGTGGCATAATAGAAAAAGCATAGGAAATCCCCCCAAATACTTGTTCAAATCCCCAAAAATAGGTGTTAATAATTTTTATGATCTTTATGAAAGGTTAAATGACTTGTGCTTCAGACTCCACAGCTGCAAAATTGGAGCTTAATGTTTACTCATTGTTTGTTCAGCTAAAAAGGCATTGTACCTGTTACATATTATATACGAAATAAATTATTGCTACTTTATTAATTATTATTATAAATTGTTGCTACTATATATCACCATCAAAGTATTCAAATCAATACAATGAGGTTAGAAAGAATTACTTCATAATATAGCATTTATATGTAAATTTACTGAAATATGTTTTTTAGGTTATAAATGACACCTACTAATCTTTGGTGGGTATGAAGTTAATTAGGGTAAAAAAAAGGAATAATAAACTTCCAGCTAGCAGGAGCCTTTGCTCAATCCTTGAGCCAGTCTAAGATCTCATTATGCTAAGAAAGTAGTTCTTCTTCCATATAGCCCCAAAGAATTAAATATTTCATTAGCATCAAGAACCAGTTTAATGCTCTAAAATTTAGAATCTAAATAATGACACAATGAAGTAGCAAGCTCAAATGCCTTCAATAAATAGGTAATATAAATGTTAGATTGTAGTCAGGTGAAGACTCACCTCTTGCTTCAAATTCAGTTTTTAAAAATATATTTCAGGCATAACCAATCAACCAATGAACCAAGAAAAAAACAAACAAACATCTGCAGGCCAGAGCTAGTTGTGGGGCTGTGGCCTGTGGGGAAGATGGCCCACACGTGTCCCGGCCTCAGATGGCTCCAAACTGATGGTATGCTGCCCTGGAGAGAGCAGAACCTTGGCAAACACTCCTGGGATGTTCTCCCATAATAGGTGCTATTCCAAAGGGTGAGCTCCTCTTGGTGTCATAACAGGAGAGGAAGCCATTTGGTTCTTAGGGGGATCAGGGGTCATCTGAATATTGGAATGTTTTGGGAATGCCAGTTCTGGACTTCGCATTCTTATCCAGGTGGCCTCCAAACTTAAAAAAAAAAATCTCCTACTTCAGTAAAAATACTCAAGCATGTTCCCCATTCAGTGACAGTAACACAGTTGCCATGCCGTGCACGCACAAACTTGATTTCACTTATATCTTCCTTTCCATGTATGCACAAAACTAACATATCTGATAAAAAGCTTTGAGATGTCTCACTGAGTCTAAAAAAGACCTTTTGATAAGAATATAATAAAAATCTCAGGTTACAGTAAGTCATCCATTGGTAGCAGAATTTCTTTTTTGGTATGACAAAATAATTGTGGGTGTAGAAGCATTGATTTTGTAGATTCTAATATACATAGTAAATTTTAATAAAGTTTTTCATATAAACTTGTAGTGGAAGTTCAATATTTTCTCTCTAAGTTCAGTGGGTGACCTTGAGACCCTGGCAGGGACACCACATAGTGCTCACAGCCCCAGTTTGGGCACTGCTGCATGAGGGGCTGTCTGAGTCTAACCAAATTCACAAAGCTGACTAGAAACAGTGGCCTTTGAGTTTATATACAAGAAAAGACTGCCAGCAGGGTCTGAATCCTTCTTACTTGTGGGTGGCCTATTCCCTTCTTTCAGGGGAAAATCAACACTGAAGTTCAGTATGTGCTGACTCCTTTCTCACCTGAATAGCTTCTTCTCACACCGTGAGCCTCCTTTCTAGCTTTCTGGAGCCTCCTCTGGGCCCAGATGTTAGGGTTTTTGGTTTGTGGGTTCTAGTATCCTGGAACAACCCTTTCCCAAGGTGAGGTGGTGTGGGGAAGATGGCCAGGTCTGGAATGAGCCTAACCTTGGCCCCATCTTGAGTCTGGCTTCCTAGACCTGCCTGCCCACCACAGCCCACCTGTGAAGTAGGTGCAGAGTGGGTCCCTGCTATTGCTGCTAGTCTTTGTCATTACTTGTTCATTACACTGTCTTATGCTCCCCACACGTTCTCACATCCAGAGGGCATCTCCTGTAGATATCGTAGAGAGCAGAATTGACAGGCCTGTCTAGGGGAGCGGGGGCGACGGGGGGAAGGCCAGGCTGGCCTCTGCAGAGTGGCCCCAGGGAGAAGTTCCTATAGTAGGGCCCTTACTCAGCTGCCTGCTTTTCTGCCCAGCCAACCCCACATCCAGCCCCAGATTTGCTTGTGAGAATGCTTTGGTGGAGTTGACATACTTGTGACTATACTCATGGGGCTTGCCAGCTCACATGGTAATCACATACCACTGGAGATTTTAGCTAAGACCCCTGCCCGGCCCCAGTGTCCTTCATAGTGATTTCTGCTCGGGCTGGGGTCTCAGCCATAAAGAAAGCCAGACGTATGGGCCCTTAGAGGACTTGTTATGGAGGAGTCACATTTTGACAACAGGGTGGAGAGCTCTGTGGGGTGTGGAATCAGCCCCATAATGCTGGGGAGCTGTTCATTGCTGTGACTACCTTGTGGGACTGTTGGCATTGCTTTATGGATGGACACTTTTCTCATGTTTAGTAAATTGTCCCTAGTCAAAGAAATAGTGATAGGACTAATGTGGGGAAAAGTTGGACCTTCATTGCACCAGATAGATGCAAGCTATTTTATTGTTTGTATTTTAAATCCCATCTGTTTGCCCCTGATTGCTAAATGACTTGGTGTGGAACTCTAAAAGATCACCTTGATCAGCTCATGTGCTAAATGAGAGGGGCTGCAGGGCCATTTTTTTGTTAGCTTTAAAAACAATCAACAAATTATCCTTCAGCTCCAGGTTCCACAAAAATCCTATTGTGTCTGACCTCAGGAAAAGGAATATAAAGCTAAAGGCAAGCACATCTTCCTTGAGGTGCACCCCCATGGCTGGCTTCCATCGGTGAGTGGGGTGCCCTCTGGTCCCTGTGGTGTGTGCTGGGTGAGCCTGTGTTGTGGGCTCTAATACAAAGCCCCATCAGGCCAAGCCTGGTGAGAAGGCCAAGGTAGGAAAGGACCTTTATCAAAGAGGGTACAAACATTTCTGAAGCAAGTATGCACCAGAGTGTCTTAAACACTCTTGGATTTTTTTTTCAGACCCGAAAGACTTTCTCATCTCACACTCAAATGGACTAAGCGCTCAGTGCCTGCTGAGTTTTCTCACCCTCCTGCCCTGCTTCCTCCTGCAACGCATGCTCAATGAAGGGGAGACTGCTGACCGGCCTGCAAAGACCTTACCCACAATCCACACCAGCAGGACTGAGGCATCCCTGGCACAATGAGCAAGGGTGTTGAGCAAGCTTATTGCTCCTGGGAAAACCAAGGACTTGTGTATCGATTTTAGTTTCTGTGTTGTTAAGTAATAGATTTGTTTCATTTCCTATAAACTGAAGCATGAGATGGATATTTTTATTAATAAACATTTTCATGAAAGGGCCTTTTTTGCTTCCCTAAGTTTTATGTCAAGGTACATGACTCAGCCCCACGTGAGTAAACACCAGAGGCTGGGGCTTCTTCAACCCTCTGTCATCTCTAATGATTTCAGAGTAGATTAAGCAAGGCCTTCCTCAGGTAACATCTCCTCTTCCAGCACCCCAGCCCCCATGCATAGATGCCCCAGCATTGCTGCAGCACCTCGTGTCATTTGTTTGTTCACTGTCAATCTCCATACTAGTCTCTAAGTCCTTGAAAAGGTGGGCGGGGACAGCTCGCATGTGTATTCCCAATACTGCTAATGCTCTATCTGACAAGGAGCAGCTGCCTAAAAAGTGCTTCATAGATTGAGAAAGGAAGGCAAGAAAGGGAAGGGAGCTAAGGCTGGAGAAACCCTCCTCCTTTTTTCCAGCTCTCTCTACTAGCTGTTCCTTTGTGACACCCTTTTCAGGACAATTAGCACTTCTTGGGATGATCACCAACATCTCCTTAAAAGAGGAAGATTCTACACAGCAGAACCATTGTAAAGGCAAAGCAGGGATAGAATTCAGCCAAAGAGGTTACACAGTTTCAGGCCAGCCCTTTTCCCATAGGATTCAGTCATTTCCTGACAGCCAGTCAGGCCAGAGGGTTTACCTGCAGCAGGCCAGCCACCAAATCTGAACTTCAATTTGAAATTAAATACCTGTAAAAGACTCTGGGAAAAAATCAAGGAGACTAAAGGGCCCATTTTCCTGCCAATCACGCAGTACTTGGGAGTCAGCTGTCAAGTATATTAGCTCTCTGCTGATTAGTCACAGCCCGTTTGAACAGATACCACAACTAGAAATCAGAGGAATGAAGATAAGAATATTACAAATTATTCATGTAAACAAATAAGAATAAAATATAAGAGAGAAAAGGACTCTGAAATAGACAATACAACCTGAATTAATAAATCAATTGATCAAAATATTGAAATCTTAGGGGGTGGCTCCATAGTGTAGTGTGGTTAGCATGTCTGCTTTACATGCAGAAGGTCCTGAGTTCGCATCCCAGGTGGAGCCACAGACCATGCCCTGGGTGTGCCAGGCCTCCCGGGTGCATGCCATGAGCGTGTGGGAGGAGATGCCCCATCTTCAGAGATCCAGTTCTCAAGGGGAAATGGCAACATCCATAGGTCAGGAGTAGAACTGGAGGGGTAGAATTAAAGAGGGGGAAAAATACTGAAATTTTATAAACTTACAGGATTTCATTTAAAATGTTCAAAGCTGAATTCAATGGAAACACCATTACAGGATTTATTGCCTATGGGATATAAAGTTACATGTACTAGAGTGATTTTAGGGGCAGAAAAATGTCTTTGAATCAACACTGGAAACTCCTTGCTCCTAGACAGTTGTCCCAGTGTTCAATGGTGGAGACACTTCATGGGGAGGGTGGTTTCATCTCTACCTAGATGTTAGGGTACTACACACATTAGGTAAATAGAGAGTTCTCAGTGTGAGCACTGAGATAGGAAGTCGTGCTGAATTAAATGAGCTGCTACCTTAGTGTTCTGCATAGAGTGTGAGCACGCACACACATAAGCTGGCACAGACTTCAGTGCGGGGAGTGGAAGGGAGAAATAACAATGCAAAATTTGTCAGTGATTTGAAGTCCATCAGGATGGGGCCAGCATGCTGGAGACCATCAGTGAGACAGAAAAGCCTGGGTAGAAGCTGTGCTGTCCAGAATGTCCACTTTGAGAGCATACACTTCAAATAGATGATAGTTCTATTGAGTTTTTTAGCTTTTTAAAATTCACTGTAGTTCATAAGCCTATGTAATACAATTCTTTGAAAAACCTATGTTATAAAAAAGTTTATTGGCACTTAAGCTTTACAATCATTGGCTATGAAAGTATGAATTTAATGTAACAGTCAAATGAATGTTAAAGAGAAAAGAAGGTATACTTTAGTAAAAGATTGACTTGGACTATGATTCATGAAAAATAATTATTCAAGTTTTGAGACAGATATTTCTAGGCAATAATGATTTTTGATAACAAAGTTGTCTATAAATAGTGTCATGTGCATTTTGAGCAGTACCTTCTATTGCAGCTTAATTATTATAGAAACAAACAACTGATGGACTTTGTAAATTTTCCCTAAGAACTTGATAAATATCTTTGTACTATACATAGAATATTTACAAAATGCCTATCCAAACTTTTATACCAATGTGAAGTATGCTGAAAAACATAGGTGGACAAAAAGACACATTATCTTATTTTTAATAGCTGCATTTAGGGAACTGAACTGAGAGGACTGTTCCACATTTGAGAGGCTACAATTGTGGTAAAAAGGAAAACCAAGACATGTTCATTAGTAAAAACATCTAAGATATAAACTCGTTTACATTTTAAGTAGACTATTAGGAACCAAGATTATGGATTCTTCTAATAGAATAATTCCTGATTATAAGCAAGAAAACCAAATTAACCATTTTGTCATCTCGCTCTCATCATCTATCATCTATCATCTATCTATCTATCTATCTATCTATCTATCTATCTATCTATCTATCTATCTATCTATCTATTTATCTATCATCTATCTATCTATCTATCTATCATCTATCTATCTAATCTATCATCTATGCACTTACTTAACTAGCTAGCTAGCTAACTAACAACTAACTAAGAAACTTTTACCTATCTAGCTCTGAAAAGAACATAAAATCTCATCTAGGAATTATGAAAAGTAAACTGCCAACTTTTTCTGCAATGCTTGGAGAATTTGAGGATAAAAGGTATTTTCCCTGTTTGTGCCCCACCCCCACCACAGGTATCCAGGAGACCATTCAAAAGCAGAAACTTCCCAGGAGACAAAAGAGGGCCCTGGGCTCACAGTTGGCACCTTTACAAAAATGTGTCACATATCTTATCTATCTCCTTCTGTTGAGAGTAGATAGGCTTGCTAGGCCACTATCTCAGAGCTACTCTGTTCCAGGGCCACCTCACTGTCCTGGTTTTACTCACCTTGACAGAGAGTGAAGGGACTTCCCTTTGGAGAAAGCAAATACAAGCTCTCTCCATTCTGGATTGTTTATAGAAACCACTCTTTCTTTGCCAGCTTTTGTTCTCATTCATTCTTCTCTGGTGCAGCCTAGAAAAGCAAGGTCTGTCACCATAAGTCCCTGTATACTCTCGCTAAGGGAACCACACAAGGACGTTGGGAGAAGGAACAGGGAGAGCTATAGGATTTATTTTAGCACCATGGTTTTGACTCCCTGACTGTTCAGATCTTTCAACCCTACCTGGATTAGAGTTTACTCCAGAGCCAGAGCAAATGACTGCTGGGTGAAAAGCCCTTTTGTACCCTCCAGGTATATCACAATTTCCCCTGTCTAGCCTGGAAGCAATTGACTTCTCTTGGCTGGCAGAGTTCAGAAGCAACCTCTGAATGTATTTCCAGTTTCTGCTATCTGCAAAAGCCTCTCTGGTCCACATCACACTGGCAGCATTACCTTTCTATTGAATTCAGCTTTGAATATTTAAAGTTAAGTTCTATTACCTTTATATGCATAGGCTTTTCTCATTTCACCTGGAGCTATTGGGGAAAAAATAAAACGAGGAACTGTGTCTCCTCTACTTAGAACTGCGAGCACTCCACTGATCTCCTGACCAGCAATTGGACCCCTACAGGGCCCCAACCAGACATTATGAAAGTTTATAGCCACACATATGGCTGAATCCCCAGCAGCTGAACCACCAAGCTGAGTGAGGCTGCTGTGCTTGATAATGGCTGCAACACTTTCACTGAGGTTTATATACTGACATGCAAGTGAATGTTTAATAACAAGCTCCCGAGAAAAATTATATATGTAATAAATAAATTATATATTGTTTATTATATACAAAGTTATAAATTTATAAATAATAACAAAATACATAATACTTTATGTTGTAAATTCAATATAGCCAAAAGCTTTCATTGATTTTTACCAAATTTTACATTCATACCCAACCATGTAGTTCAAGCATAATTTGATAAATGCTGCTGCATCCTGATAATTCACTGACTCTTTCTACAATAAATTTATTGTCATTAATTTTGATATGTGATCTGCGAAACAATTTCTAATCTTCATACAAATTGTGTTATTTAATTGAAATCTCTTTGAACTTTGATACTACATATGTGAGCTCTTCACTTATTTATCAACATGACTGACTTCTTTACTGTTTTAAAATGTACCTGGGATTTGTTTTAATAGGATGGTAAGACATATAGACACAAATGACTATCATGAAGGAAGAAGTTTATACTCACAAATCCTTAGAAATGGGAAGCATGAAATGCCACACAGGACCACATAGGGAAGCACCAAGGCTAGTCAAAAGACAGAGGGAGCAAGGGGGAAATGTAGGCAAAAGCTTTAACTATGGTTTCCATGGGAAGAAATGGGTAAGGCAAGGCAAGAAGGTTTAGAATTGGCTAGTTTGAATAATTTCAGCAGGCCTTGGGCATAGAGACTATTCTTAGTTGCCTGGTACATTTTCTTCTCACTCCCTCTGCCTCCTAACCCACCCTAGTGCTTCTCCATGTGTCCCTGCATGGCATGTTATGCCCTGCCCTCTTGAGATGAGTATGACAAACTGTCTTTTCAATGGCCTTGCCATAACTAAGTAATAATAAAACCTATATTTTAAAACAAATAAGCAAGAGCTGTTCATCCCTTTAGAATTATAATGGACTAAAGAACTGCTTCACCAGTGGCACTGGGTCATCATTGCTAAAGCTCTTGCAAATGCTGCCATGATAACTTCATAGCTAGTGTTGACTGAGCTTCCACAAAGGCCAGTCCTACTAGATGTGGACCAGAG